TGCTTGCTCTAGGCTTTGTATTGCATTCAGTTGAAATACATATGCTATTATTCTTAGTTACCAACTTGTAGCAGTTTGTAATTATTAGGGACTAAGATGTAAATATCATTTCTTTGTGTATATACTTTGTCACGTAAGATGAATGAAATAGAATTTTACACTCCCAAACTCTACAGAAAGCTAGGGAATAACGCGCAACCAGATATCTCAATTTGCATCAATTAAGTATCCCACCAACGAGAAGCAAAAGCTTAAGGATCCATTTGGCAAAACTTTTGAAAAGCCAAAAGTTGTTTCTTAGACTAAAAAACTATTTTTGATCATATTTGAATAATTTTTTGGAAGTGCTTTTTATCTAGCTAAAAGAGTTTTAAAGGAAGCTACAAGCAAAAGTATAAGCCCTATCAAACATGCCCAAGAAAACAATGGAGAGAGGTACTCAATTATAAACTACAAAATGCAATCATATTTTGAGATCAAAAACCCCAAGTTTTGGCCTTCAGGTTGAAGACTTGCGTAGTCTGTACAAAAAACAAACTTGTGTTCGCTAAGCTAAGCATATTTCGTCCCTAAGAACATTTATTCGAGTAAAAAACTTCCTCTCTTGGAAAGTCTAGTAAAAAACTACAAGTCGGCAAATTTTGATCATGAACTCTGTGTTCGAGTCATGACCACTACTAACAGGACCATAATTGAAAGGAAAAAAGAAGTTTTCAGCATTTCCTCCAAAGGATTAGTCAACTCCCTCGACTTCTCCCTTTCTCGAGGCTCAAACAACTCGTTCACAAGCTCGGTGATCTTGTCAATCAGTTGCATGATTTTTGCTTTAGTGTTCATGAAAATCCAATTCAGTATGTCCTTAGCAGGATTGGAATCATCAGAACCCTCAGGTGAAGTTTCTCTCGGATTCTTATCAGCGGGTTCTGTAGATAAAATATAATGAATGATCAGACAAACAAATGAGTTATATTGAAAAACTCCAAAAGTAATAAATAACAGACCAGCTCCACCCGCCACCAAGGTTCGACCTCCCTATGGAGTCCCCATCCTTTGCTTTACATTCCTATTATTTCATTTTCTTGATTCCTTTTCTTTAATTAGAAATAAGAATATAACCGTCTTATCTACAAAATTTGACACGTGAACAGGAATTGGATGGAAACTTTCCATTGAAACAACTAAGGGAAGGCCACAGATTGGAGACCTCGTCAGCAATTTTCCTATGCTTCAATAGTACATATGTTTACCATGAGTTACAGCAATCCTTTGCGTACCTTTCTCCTCCCCCTCCATTCATCCGTGGAAATCAAATTAAAGAACAATAAAAACAATTCGCCCAACTATGGAAATGGAACTCTAAATGTATCTATAAAAGAAGAAATTCTATATTTTTACGGACTCAAAATTAACAAACCTTTAAAGAGCGACCCTCTGAGCTTCTGAACAACCTCATTGTTCAATACAGCATCCCAAACAGCCTTGTCAGATGATAAGGAAATGACCATTTTCTGCACAAATTAAGGGGTAAAACTAATTGACGAGAATCCAAGGAAAGTTCATAGTATAAGAAAAACATAAATCCAATCTTTGTTGGACAAGATAAAAGATGCCTATTGTTTTGAGCAATTCTCAACGGTATTTGGTTCATAGAAGTTCGATTTAGACGAACTTATTAGAAAGTGCAAAGGCAAAAAAATGACACAAATGGTCTTACAAAATGCACTGTGTTAACATTTTGTTCATTGAAAGACAAGATACCAATAATAATATGCATCCACATTTTATCGTTCTAAATACTTATATCAGTATGTACTAGTCGAAATATGAGCTGCATAAGCTTGTAAAAACCAAACGAGGATGCATTTCTAGATATTCGAAGCAAATGTAGAGTTGCCATGCATAAATCAACGTCTAAAAATTATGAATTTTCTTATTGATCCATGTAGAAAAAAATTTACCTTAAGAAATTATGCAAATGTGACATGTTAAAGATATAAATATATAACAATATCAGTTTAATGTAACACCAAACTATTCTAATTTTGTTCCCTAACATACCATAAAACATCTTATCAGTATCATGTTCGTGCTATGATTTTTACAAGATTTTAACTACTATAATCATTATATTTCTGAAAACGAACGGTCGCCTTTTGCAGTCATCCATTCATTTCAATGCTACAGAAAGTAAAATGGGTAAAGTACCTGAACAGAAGGTTCTGTTTGCAATAAATGGAAGGCGTTGTAAACTCGGTCAGCTCCGTGAGGCTGCAACGTTCTTGAATCAAAGAGATGCAATGAGGGCTCAACCCAATCCAACCCAGAGTCGGCTGAAGAAAGTTTCTGCTTATATCCTATTGGACTGTTATCCTCATCCTTTTCTACATCTTGATCAAGTTTTTCCTTTCCAAAACTCGAAAAGAATGCCGGGCTAAAAACCCTGAAATTAAAAAATCATTTCAAACAATAAACCCAATTAAATTGCTAGCCAAGAGCGCCAAATTAGTACAGATATTCTATAACAGTTGCCAATGTAAAAAGCAAACAAATGAACTGCATGTATGATTCAACATACACAGACAAAACTAAGCCTAGTTACGCCTCGTGTGAATAGTCAGTTCATGTTCAAAGAAACATCTAGACTAAAATATCAGGATTCAGTGCAATTATAAATTCAATAACGCACACAATTAACTGTGAAGAAGTGCAAATCCTAGAATGGTTCTATGCATACATCATTCTTAATTGATAGGAAAAGTTCATAATAATCTTCTATGGAAAATGAATGTTGGGTACTATTTTATTATAAATAAACTTCTTAGCTGTAAGTAATTCAAGAACTCACTGTTGAAGAGCAGATACTGCATGTTGCACTTCATCTCTAGATGGAACAGTTCCAAAGACAAAATCATCAATAAAAACATGCCCTTGTTCATCTTCAGTTGAATCCACACACTCCCACTCAGATTCATCGTTCCAGGTAGAAGAAGAACAAGAACCCCAAACAGCAGTTGCAGCATTAGGTGTAGCAGATACAGGAAGATTGACAAGAGATGAAAAAGTAGAAGAAACATTACTATTATTCCCGGAAGAAAGAGTAAAACCAGACTGTTTTTTCTTGTAAGATTGTTTTGTATTTCTTGGAGTATTTGCACCGGTGCTAGTATTATTACTACTGGCGTGTGAAAAGGGCTCCGGTTGTGAACCGGCGACGCCAGCCCTGACGGCCCTTTGGACGGTTCTTAGCATTCCGCCTCCTCCACTGCCACCGCCCATTCCTCTACTGCCACCCCCGAATGAGCGGTGCATGTTATATGTTCTTATCTATTACTTGTGTGTACAAAGCCTGTGACGCTGTCATTTAGATTTTTTAGGCAAATCAGTTTTGACGTATTCGAGGTGAAATTTTATGGATAGAAAGAATTTGGAACGTAGTACGACGCTTCATCCTTCGGATAATTATCTTCGCAAATCCCAGAAGATACAGTGAAGAGTAAATTGCACAAGAGGTCACTGAATATTCAACATACTTGTAATTAGGTCTCTGAATTTTTATTTGATGCAATTGAGTCATTATAATTTAATTTACGAGCAATCAAATCATTGTTTGGGTTCTATTAGCCAGATTGCTGACATATCCATCAAAACTAATGATCTGCCAATATGTCAGTCTTCATATGAAATTATATTGGAGGTCTTTGAACTTTAATCATACTTGCAACCACAGTGTTGAATGTCATGTCAATGTACTTTATTTTAAAAATAATTGATACAGGAGGATTCGAGTCAGACGAAGTCGAGTTGTCCGATAGCTTGTCGATGGTGCTGAGTTACCATGAGTTGGCGGATCAGCGTAAAAATGACAAGTAATCGACGATCTTTCCTAATTGGGGTTGTTTTTGGACACGTTTTGGTATTTTGACCATAACTTTGACTACGGTTATCAGAATCATGCTTATAACCCTAATTTGGAAAGCTCTTTTCGGCGTGCACGTCGTGGTCTGGGGTGCACATCGGTTTCGATGGCAAAATTCACCGTTTTCCTTCGGAATCCCCAATTTTAGTTATTTTTTTTTATTTTTGGTAATATTTCGTTTGTCTTTTTAACATAGATTACGAACTTGATTTAAACCAGATTTTTTGGATAATATTTCTTTTATTACGTACTTTCTTTTGATATGAATATTGAGAATTTGCTATTTTTGATAAAATTCCGACAATTATGATTTTTTATCTATATAACTCGACTTGTGGTTTATTTTCGCATGTTGGATGATTAATAAAGAATTTTCTTATTTTCTTGACATTTTCTCTTGCGTTCTTCCATTTTAATTATCTGCTGAATTCAGCTCACAGAATAATCGTTATTCTGCCCGGCGTCACAATTAGCCCACTTCATTTGGCGAATAAAGGTTAAAAATTGTAGCGTTTCTTCCATATCTCAAAATCGATGTAATTGGAAAGTGAATAAAGGTTAAAACTTGTAGGGTTTCTTCCATATCTCTAGATCGACATAATTGGACTTCCATTTTTCGGAGGGTTGGTAGGGTAGAGTAGGGTTGGGGTGGTTCATTGGAATAGAACGCTATTTTTAACTTTTTAAATTTTCTCCCTTTTTTGATATTTATTTATGTGCAATGCTATGTGTACAAAATTAGCTAACAAAATGAGTGTGGTAAGATCTAGATCAATGATTTCAAAAATAATTTTTGAAATCAATGGTCTAAATCTTGTCAACTCATTTCGTCAAACAATTTTGTACACTTTAAGGGCAATATTATCTTTATACATTACTTCAACAGAATTTTTTGATAGAAATTGTTAGTAGGATGAATCTCACTAATAATAAAAGTTTGGGGAGATGAGGGGATATAAATTCAATAAGGATGAAAGTGATACAAAACAAAAAGGTTGGAGGCTCAGAGTGAATTTTACCCAAAAATAAAAGAGCATATTCTCCTTGGGACCTTGTTTGACATAAGAACAATGGTGACTATAGATTTAAACAATAATTATTCAAATTAAGTGTTTATTTGGTAGGGATTTTTGGGGAAGAATTAATTTTTGAATAGTGATATGATGGGAAATATGTTGTTGAAATAGAAGAAAAAATTATTGATGTGGTGGAAAATATTATTTTATTGAAGAATGTGTGGTTGAAAATGAGAATTGATTTACTGTAGAATTTGAGAATAAAAAACAAACAGGCCCTAACACAATGACAAATTTAACGTATAAAACTAATTTATTTATTTATTTTGCGTGGGGTGGGCGGGGGTATGAAAAAGGATATTTTATGTGTGCTTGTAAATATTTTTTATGTTGTAAATAATATATTTATTAGTGAATCTGCTATACATTCATCCCTAATTTTTATACCGTTGTATATATAATTATTCCCTATAAATATGAGATTTAATAAAACATACAATTCTATTAACTTCTCTTTGTTATGAAAAAGAGAGAATAAGAAAAATTAATAGACTTGTGTGTATTATAATGAGAACCAAAGCCTTATATTTATAGGGAATGAATATGGATACATATGATAATAATATCTAGGGCTGTAGGGATACAAGTGTCATTCACATTAAACCTTAATTTACTTTCATTTTATAACACTCCCCCTTGAATGACACATTACAAAATATATGCCTCGTTAAAATCTTGTTTGATAAAAATTCAATGGAACAAAAAAAATCAAAACGAAGGAAAAAAAAAGTACAGTTATTTTGGAGTATTAAAGATAAATGTTGCCTCATTAAAACCTTGCTATGAAAAACCAGTGGGATAAAACCTAAGCAAGGAAAAAAAGTATAGCTATCCCTCTAATGTTGATCACTGAAAATCTTTGAGTTGACGCATTCCAATCCCGTGAACCAATTTCTTGAATGTAGATGTTGTCAGTGATTTTGTAAATAAATCAGTCAAATTGTCACTTGAAC